TCATGAATACGAAACATACGTCATACTTATAATTTAATCGTTTAGGTTTAATAGGTCGTTTATAGTTTAATCGGTTACTTAAATCTCGTGCCTTATGCTCGATTTATATTTATTTTCTTTATAATATTTTTTGCCTGTGCATTATAAAATAATGTACTTTTCTGTTAATGTAAAAATAAATCCCATATATATTTCGTCTACACTGTTAAAATTAGAAACATCTAAAAATCTTTAAAAGATTCCTATCTTAAGAGAATCCTTTCGATGGTTATTTTAGAATAAGGTATTCTAAAAATAAGTGGAAAATTCTTAAAACGAGAATGCAATTTTTTTCACTGCACATAATCAACAATCACGAGCGTCAACGTTAATAGAACCGAAACGGGTTGCGGCGTATACTCTCTTTCTCGCGAGGCGGTTATAGTTTCTCCGTTGTAACAGTAACCCCTCATTATACTCCCATCGTGGCCCGTTATTAAAGCTGTTACTCACTTTTACGAAACAAAGAAGCGCGAATTAAGCAATAAATACGCCGGTGCCTCCTGCGCGTAGGCCGACCGGTTCGGCAACAGGACCGTGACACGACCAGGTGCGGTATATCTCGGGATCGAACTCAGATCGGCTGTGATCTAATTGCGATCGACCGTATTTCCAAACTCGCGATCGCGCATCACGATCTCGTCACAATATATAATGTACGGGCGTGCTAGCCGTACAATAATTACAAATTAGGGTGTTATCGTTCATCAAAATTTATGCCTTTATTTTTCACAGAAAGTTGGTCCACAACTTGTTGGAGGTTGCTCTCTTTTACCCGTATGAATTCGCGTCTCGTATCCCCATTACACGGTTAATCTGTCATTATTTCGAGATGCAATGAGAGAACTCCTTGTGCAAAATCACATTGAAATTAACTGTTGTACAACGTACAGTTAATTCTAACGGAGAACCGTTTCTATAACACGTGTGGGGGTATTCTATACAGGGCAGACGTACGTTAACACGACACGAGTACAATGGACGGCGCGTTTCGCAAGGGAACAGAGAAGGTCGAGTTGGTTGGGAGAAGGGTGGGTGGGTGGTTTGTTGCGACAATGGCGCGGTTACTTTGTCCAGGAAGTACAGCACCATCGTCGAACCAACCCTCCGGCTTGAGCCACGAGACGCTAATGCAAGTTCCGGCGACCGCTGGGACGAAGAAGGACAGATAAATGTATCGAAAGAGAGAGAGCGGGAAGGAAAAAACGCGACAGGAAGCAGAAAGAAGCAGGGGAGGCGAAAAAAATCGTGCCGGCGAGTAAAAATGTGAAACTTTACTTCGCGATCTCTCTCTTTTATTATCGCTTTGCTCGACGGCGCCGGTATACGCGTACAAGCTAATTCCACCCTATCTATCCCTATCTGTGTCTGCCGAGAGAATAAAATCGGAGAAAGGGGATGTTACGCGCGAGGGTAGAACACGGTGCAAGGAACAGGTTAATGTGAATTGCGCTTAATTCTTTATAATTCATGTAGTATATGGATCGCGTTTTGCAAGATGGCCCGTATATAGAGAGAAGAGAGCTAGCGATTTATTAAATGGGGGTAGTATTGTATCTTCTTGTGAAAAGGACAAATGTGCTAATCATAGGAGCGAAATGACTATTAACATCCATCAATGATATATGAGTGTCATTAGTCATTAGATAGTCTTGTCTAGCAGAACAAAAGTTGTAATGGTCACAACTAGATGATGCACGAAAAAAATTGTAATAAAATTCTATAAAAATTTCAACTGCCAGACTAAAAGTACGTAGAACAAAATATATTTTTTGACTATATTACATCTAAAGAATTTGAAAAAAAGATTTCAACTATTAGATGTGACGTTTACAATTTTTTAGAACAAACATAAAATCGAGTTTAGAAAAATATTTTGTGAATTCTTCCTTTTACCATAAGTGCCAATACTAGAGAATGTCAACTCAATCAAAAAGGCAATCTTAACACTTATTAAGTAGTGACAGTTTGCATTTATGTTATAAATAATAAAAGCAAAAAATGCTGGTATTCCCGATCTAGTTGAGTTAATGCAAACTAAATTATCCGCCATTGACGATTTCAGGTTTTACCGGAAGCACTTTCCCAGGCTTAGATACAGTTCAAAGATATTTCTTGAGCCTGTTGCCTGCCACGAAAAAATGGCTTCTGTTGCAGATTCACTTTTGCAGTAACATTTCCGTATTTGTTCTGTAAGTCTTGACCTCGTGTACCAATCAAGTTATGACCATTACAACTTCTGTTCTATTAGACGAAATCTATCTAACGACACTCATATCACTGATAGATGCCGATAACCAGATTTGGGCATTCTCCTTTATTAATTATTTATTAAAGTTCCGGCAATTTTCTCTCTATTTGTTTTAGAAAACATACTGACTCTTCAAAAATTTATTTCAAATATCCATCTTATTAAGATACATCTAATCTCGTGATATATAATGATATTTTCGAGTTTGGGACATAAGACTATCATATAACTCGCATACATGATACTCTGTTCAACGAGCAGTGTTGTGCTTAGATGATTTTAAAATTAACTAGATAAAGATGAGATAAAAATATGTAAATTCATCTTAAATAAGATAAAAATTATTTTTAATATATCTATATAAAGATAAAATTATATATGGCGATTCATCTAGATAATTTTCTAGATAATAATATTTTTAAGACTGCTTACGTAAACACAGTTATAAAAAAAATGTAAATTATATAAGGGATATAAAAATATACGTACTCATATTTTTATTTATAAATTCTTATCGCTTACTGCTTGAGTTCTACTATAATATTTAAGTATAATATTTTTATGAGCTATGATTTGAAACCAGAATTATCTGAAAATTATTCCAGATAATTTAGTAAAGATAATAGTTTTTTTTTTAATCTAAGATGCAGATATAGATAATACACATTTTTTATTACATATATATATATAAAGATAAGATGACGCCAAAGTTTCATCTAGATGATCATCTATATAATTTTATTTAGATAACAGCAAACACTGTCAACGAGAGAATATGTGCATCAGACAAAAATTCGTCTGTTTCGGGTAGGTTTCGCTCATGGTTTTCCTCTTTATTGCTTTTTTAATTTACCAGTGTCTGCAATGAATGGCTCCAGGCCCTCGAAGCATTGGATGGGTATCTCTTCCTATCTTGCCCACTTATGCGTAGACCGATGCACGTTCTCTCGTTGAACGGAGTATACACATATTAGCTGTCATAACGCATTTTTCTTTCGTTGTGACAGGCGTTTAAAGTATGGCCAGTTTAACGGGAACAGAAGGGAGAAACTAAAAGGGAAAGTAAAACCGTACATGAGCTCATGAAACGAGGGCGTAAGGATGTGCAGCCGCGCCTAATGCGCGTTTCGTGTCAACGAGGGGCGACGGGTTCGCATAGCGACGGAAAAAAGAATCTTGCTATCGCGATTCAAAGAGAGTCTCTTTTGCGTCGTTGGAAAGGGATGAGGGAGAACGCAGGATATGGGACACGTGTTTCCAGGGTCCCGATTACCCGCCGTCGTCTTCTTACATGCGTACATCGCTATGTTCGCGTAATGTCCCTGTCGATAAAACCCCCAAGGCTCGCGCGCGCGCGACGTCCTGATTTATACCTGGTATGAATATAGCAGCGCGCCCGTATATATAGAGGCGTGCGCGGTTTTATCCATGTCCTCGGATTATGCTCGTCGCAAATGTCGTGGAGAGCGATATATCCCGTTGGAAATCGCCCGCCCGCGATCGCGAGAGTGCTCGTCGTACCTCGGATTATTTTTACGACGGAAATTGCTCACAGAGGCAATACTTTTTCGCTGTTCTCTCACCTTCCCGCGTCCTTTCCCAGAAAATTCCTTCATCCGAATTCTAATCCTTTAATTAAAATTTTAACATTAACAAGTCTTTGTTTTAAAATTAATTCCTCTTTTAAATTGATAAAACAATATACCTACATATATATTTCGACATTTCGATAAATTATTTAAGGAAAACCTAAACGCTATCCTGTTTTATCGATAAAACATCATTTTTGTACACCCTTTTCTTTTTATTGGTTGAATAGAATAATAAATTCTTTTTCACGATTAAAGTACATACAGAAACAAAACGCGCCAATTTTATGTTAAAAACAAAAATGTTTAATAAATAATAATCCTTAAGGTTGCCAGTAATAATTAATAAAAAACCACTCCTCAATGTTTAAAGTCGACCAGACTGGCAATAATTTATTATAAATAATTATTTGAAATACAACAACGTTTCGGCTGTCATTGCAGCCCTTTTCAAGTACATCAAATTTAAAACAGTAAATCAACTTCTATGCAAACTACCGACAATGTTAACGCTTGTTTTGATGAACAATGCAAGACTGACAGAAGTAAGCACATATTAAATAGATGTTAACTGTTCGCAAGTGACTAAGATTCTTGCGAACAGTTAACATCTATTTAATATGTGCTTACTTCTGTCAGTCTTGCATTGTTCATCAAAACAAGCGTTAACATTGTCGGTAGTTTGCATAGAAGTTGATTTACTGTTTTAAATTTGATGTACTTGAAAAGGGCTGCAATGACAGCCGAAACGTTGTTGTATTTCAAATAATTATTTATAATAAATTATTGCCAGTCTGGTCGACTTTAAACATTGAGGAGTGGTTTTTTAAAAATGTTTAATTTCTTAATGTAAAAACTTTTTTTTGTTTTAATATAAAATCGATAGGAAATCGCGCTTTGTTTCTATATGTACTTTAATCGTGGAAAAGCATTTATTATTCCATTCAACTAATAAAAAGAAAAGGGTGCGCACAAAAAATTATGTTTTATCGATACAATAGAACGGCGTTTGGGATCCCTTTAAATGTAAATCGTTTTCTTTAAATTATATTTTTAAGTTATGAAACTAGCTGTATATAATTAGCGATCGACAAAGCTGGGGCATTTATTCGAAATTTCAGAGTCCGATGTAAGACAGCAAACGATCGGACACTGTCGGGTATATAGCGTATAAATGCGAGCGAGCGGAAGAAGCTGTTGAGGGGATGAGGAAAAGCGCCACTAGAGAAGAAGGTAGACTAGGATAGGAGGGTATTCCGTGGAAAAGCAGAGAACGTGAGTTGTATCGCCAACCACGGCTTTAATAAACCTCCTTGGATTCCCGGCGACGCACTATTGTGGCAGAGTCACTCTGATCCTTAAGGTGGTAGGTCCGCCTATCCTTCGCGTCCTTCTTTCCCCAACAGTTTCTCTCTTACTCTCTCTCTCTCTCTTTCTCTTTTACTTCGTACTCTTCTCCTCTATCTCTCTCCAAGGTCTCTCAATATCCCTTTGTTTAGGGTGCTCGAGAGTAGTCGCGGAGCATGGATGTCATGCGCCGGCGAAAAGGTTCTCGCGCCAACCCTCGACCAGCGACTTTACCCGGATTCTCGCTTACAAGACTGCATTCGAATGCTGGATGGAAATGGATGTTTCTTATGGTCGCCGCTTATATCACGGATTCGGGACTTCAACCCACGAGAGGGTATTAAATTTATTTAATAAAGTAGAAGTGATTAAAAAAGAGCAACTAAACACAGAATTATTTTGGCCCAAATAAGAACAAAACGATTTACAAAAGTAATTGCCGATTTTTGACATATAATTATTTATTTGTTTATTTATTTATTTATTTAAACGAGAAATATTCACTCTAATAGAAACAAGATAAATACATAGTAACAAAATGTTTACACCTACAATATCAAAATAATAAAGTTCAAAACGTAGAACATTTGAAAAGCAGGCATTAATCATATTAACAAGTTTTTAGGAAAAAAAGGAAAAATGTATTATAACGTACGAGTGTCAACAAGATTGTTAATATTGTTTTTACACGTGTCTGTTACTCATCTATGTACGAGAGAAACTTAAAAAATAAAGGGACATTTGAGAAATTAAAAGTTTTAATTGTACTTACAAAAGTAAACAGGTTATTTTTCTACGTAATCTCCCTCTATTTTTATATACTTAGTCCATTTCTTAATAATAAGCTTTTCAATTTTGAAAACAATTTTTTGAACTCCTGTACAGTTACTCTTGCACCTCTTTATCCGAATGAAACTTTTGTCCTCTCCACTTTTTTTAACGGACCAATAAATGTAAAAATACGTATCAGAAATAAGTATCCTTTATTTTCATATTGTTGGAAATTTCCAAACGATTTTATTTATCTGCAAGTCTGTTCACATGGAACTCAGCATAGACTTTTTAAAAATTTAGTACCTCATGCATGATTGAGAATGCTGAATTGGTGGCCAATATTCAACTCATTTTCATCAATTTTGGCTCAATTATCATGAATTATTCAATCAATTGCCTCAATATTGCCGTTAATCTTTAAAATGGAAGGCTTATCTGGACGTTTTCCATCATAGAGAGAAATCCCGCTATTTTTAAAATAATCTATAATATATAATAAATCTTGCTTCGAGTTAAACAACTCTCACCATACTGCTGTTATATTATTCTAAATTCTGCGAATCATTTCTGCCAATCTTACCTTCTATGAGTGAAGAAACGTATTGCTCGCATTTCTTGTTTATTACAATCAGGCAACGACGCAGTCATTTTAAATCGACTTAAAATCACAGCGAAAGAAAACTAAATAATAAACCACTATTCTGAGCAAAGACACTTTGAGACTATGATTAATTACACAGCAGTCAGTGTTACCAGACATCTGATCTGGAAATCAAAAATATCCTTCTACTTTTGCAACTTTCCCTCGTAATTTAGAGAGTCATCCAGATTGAGCATGTGTACTGTCATGATACAACGTTTCATTCTTCTCACCGTGTTCATTAGAATGGCTTGTAGGCAAAATATACTGCGCCCACTATCGCGTCGAGTGGATGGGCGTGCGCCGCGAGATAATCAATCTCGACCCTCTCGATGATAGATTCCATTATGTTCGGAGAGTAAGTCCGGTGGCACGCGCGTGGCTTTGGGCAACGAACGCTCGAGCGCACTTGAAAAATTGTGAGACTATTAAGCTCTAACGAGGGTATGTGTAACACTCTAATTCACTTATATATTCGAAAAGTAACACGAATATACGTTTTACGGGGGCCCAACACTCGCTCGATATCGTACGAGGGTTATTCAATAATTCAATAAAAGAGTAAAAAGACAAGCGGTTATTGTTTAAATACGATTTATACAATAAATCTAATAATTAACTATATCTTTCAATATAATCCTACAATTGGTTTTTTATGTTAGCAGCAAGAATTCTGGGTTTTAAAGGAGAATAAGCCAATTTTGGATATTTGTTTTCATTTCGTTGATGTGAAACTTGATTCCACTAATGACTCTTTGAGAGGACCAAACAAAAAAAATCTGATGAGATGAGGTCTGAACTAGACAGATATGGCAGAATCTTCCAGTCTAATTTTTCATGTTTCTTTTTCGGCCGAACTGATCAATGCACTTATAAAAATAATTCTCACAATTTATACAACCGTATTGCTTGAGCATCCGAAAGTAAATGGTTTTACAATCCCAGAAACTGGAAATCTTATCACTGAACGATTTTTCTTCAAAAGTGCATTTTTCGAGAAACTTTCCAGGTAACAAGCATACGTCATTAGACGTCAAGTGACGTCATAGACGTCAAAATGACGTTATTATGATGCTTAATCTTTTTCGCTTTTTTTTCAAAAGTGCATTTTTCAAGAAATTGATGTTTATAATGACGTCAGTCATTATTGATAAAGTTATAATGAAATAGTTGTCAAACAGCTGTTTTAAATTGGTGTGACAAGGATCCTAACTCTTATCATTTCGAAGTATCGTACTTTATATTTTTTGAACTACAGCTCTTTGTCGTTTTAGTTATTGAATGATTCTCGTTCAAAATGTGTTAGAATATATTCTTGGGAAACACGCGCAAAAGGAAAAACCGATTCACGTGCTGTCGAGTAAAATTAGCGAGCGACAACTCGTAACTAACAATTATCGGAAAGACAATGATACGTCTGGCAAAAATGATACCTCAATCGAAGATTGAGTCGCTGATTCGATTACGCGCGCGCGCACGTTTGGGTTTATCATCATCTCGCCTCTATAGCTGTGAAAGACAGCCGCGACGCGAACCGGTTAATGTATCTATCAATAAATTCTGCTCGTACACATATCGACATTCTGCATTTAAGCGGCTATAAGCGAAGTCCTGGAGTTTTAGGCGCGCCGGCGGAGAGTTGTCAAGCCTTCTCGTTATATCGACAAAACGTGTCTGCTCATTACGTTGACAGACAACGCCGACAGAAACGAATGCGACGGCGAACGCATATTCCGTGTGATCTGTCAGCTCAGACCCGGAACGGTATAACACGAGGGGCCGGATATATATACATAAATAAAATCGACCATCGTTTTCCACCGCGAAGGGAGAAAATCTGCTGCGTTTGCGAGAGACAGGATATCGCGTTAACGCGACGATTGCAGGTGAAAACGACTCTGTCTCTCGCTCTCACCCTCTCTTTCCATTTATTCATAAAGGGGATGGAGGCTCGTCGAGATACGGCGGCAAAAACAGCCAGGGACTCGCGAAATGGAGAAGAGAACAGAACGAGACGAGAGATGGACAGAAAGGGAAAAGCACGGCGTTGACAACAAGTTGCGTTCGGCAGTGTACGAGCGTCGCGTTTGTATTAAAAGCTTGCAAATTCGTCGCAGAGTAAAAGAGAGAGAGAGAGAGCTCTGTCCGGGATGCAAAAGAGAACGATGACGAGATAAACGTCCCGAAGAGGGAGGGGACAACTGGTTAAGGGATGGAAAAGCGATGGAAATGCGGATACCCCCAGGTGCCGCTTTCCGGACTGATATTAACGCGAACGAGTATTTTTAATTATTACTCGGGAGTATGTGTGTATGCGTGTGTGTGCGCTCGACGCGCAAGGCGAACGAAAAAAAAAAAAAACGCTACTCGGATGAATATGAAATAATGCTGCGGTTTTTTTTAAATTGGATCTCCCGCGCGCAGAACAAAGTGCCCGCCGCGCAGCACTCTTTCGCGAATAAATTTTAAATTTTGCATGCGATATCCGGTCACGTGTAACATTAATTATACGCTTACGGGATTCTCATAATGGAAATACGCGCGGAAACTTCAATTCGTTCCTTCTTCCGCGACCTCGCGAGATCATAACGTCGACGTTGAATTAACCCTCTCTCGCTCGATTCTCTTTTTATTAACAGTGACGTTATGGAATAACCTGTATTTGCCCAGCTAATTTTTAACATATTTGTACTCCGCGTCCTACCGTTGACCTCAATTTACTATATTCCCTTTCGAGCGAGTTGTCCTATACTGTGTACACGACAGAACAAATGTGCTCACGGTAAACGTCTTGCGAGTTTCTCGGAAGCCCCGAGACATAGCTACCAACTTGCAAAATACGCGGTCGTAGACAATATTTATCATGCGTGCCTTCTTTGAAGATCTGTATTTGATTTCCGACGACATTAAAAGTCGTGCCGCATCTTTGTTAAAAAGATCATCTTTTTTATGGTCCGTTATTACTATATTTAAAAAACAATATTTTTTTTAAACATAAATCGAGATATGTCTCTCTCTTTCTCTCTCTCTCTGTGTGTGTATGCGCGCATGCGCGTTGTTCTTATATCTTTGCATGCAATGACCACTTTGACAAAGTATCCGTGAATAGTAGAGGATACGGTAGCAACGCGAGAAACATGGCTGCCGGTAATGGAGTTTACCTAGAACACTTATGCACGTAGACCACGCACGTGAACAAATGCATAGTGAATTGCTAACATAAAGAGAGAGAGAGAGAGAGAGAGAGAGAGAGACCACAAGAAGTACCGCCCCCCGGAAGTGCACTCCTGTTGCATCCTCGCTTTCGTCTCCTCTTTTCTATTCTTGCACGCTAAGATAATAGATCATATATAGTTGCGAGAGATTAGGTGTATATATTCTTTATTAAAGATATTTAATGCAATGTTTGATTTCTCTTTCACGCGATCCGTTTATTAATGATGTTAATAAATTTATTTTCTGTGATTTTTATATGTAATATTCGGCACTCCGTACTTAAGCTATTACGTTGAGAAAGATAAGCAATTAAATTTATTATTAAAATATTTTTTTATCTTATTTAATTATATATGTGAAAGCGTTAAAAAATTGGCAAAATGTTTTCAGATTATTTTTTTATTTACAAATTTGATAAAGCAATCGAAGTTCGGTAAATCGTACCACTAACTTCCTACATCAAACTACGATTTACTAAATTAATTTTTTATTTATAATGATCTTTTCTTCATATTTAGATGGACAATCGAAGAAAATATTACCAGATTTTATAATTATATTGAGATAATACTTATTTATATTCTTGTGTGATACAAAAAATATTTTGTTAAATTTTTAAAGATAATTTACGACTATAAATTTGAAAACTCATGGATACAATTTAGCAGACCGGTATAGTAAATCGTATCGAATATCACTTTTTAAAATTTTTAGTTTACAATATGAAACAATCGTAAAATGATTTGCTTTTATGTTTAGCGCGTATCATTTACAAATGACTATAGTTCGAAATAAAAAAATTTTAGTCAGTTCCTTTTGATAGTTTTATTGCAATTTCAATATTTACCTTATAGGAGATACGATTCAACATACTTCTTATTATATTAAGTAAATATAATATACTGTAGTATATTATATTTAATATAGTACTATAGTACTATAGATATTACCATTATACATATAGTATTATAATACTATATGTATAATAATATAGTATAATATACCAGTATTATATTACTATATTAAATATATTATACTGTAGTATATTATATTTAATATAGTACTATAGTACTATGAATATTACCATTCTATGAATACTACCA